AATTAACGTCATTTTAATTAACAATGAGGTAATTTAAGATATATAAAATTAACGCGAATTTTTGAAATTCGCGTTAATTACATGCATTGTTAATTTCCTATAATAAGGTACTTACAAAGGTTCGCTTAATGCGGTATTGCCATCACAAAAGCTAGCTCTAGGTTAATCTTGTCGGGATCGCCAGCAGCTGTTACACTTCTTGTGGTGTATGCAAAACTGGTGGCATCAGTTTATTTGACCACATTCGCAGGAAAATTAATTGATTAATTCATTCATTTTGACCTATCTTTTGTTCCAATCTGAAATTGTCTTCATAAGCATATCAGCATGACAGGAATGAAGCAGATCGTCGTAATTGAATTTCCAAAGTTCCAGATAACACTGTGCTCGATCCGTGCTAACGATCACGCAAAACTTTTGGCATCAACTCATTTGATCGCCTTAATCGGCTTTAGAATTTATTTCTATTGCTTCATCCGTTCAAAATTAATTTTTTTTTTCATTAGCATATCAGTATGGCAAATATTGCGAAATGACCCGAGAGCTAAATTACGTCAATCTGGTCTTGACCTGGTTACACGAATAAGGACTGGAAACGAGCTCAAAGTCTACTGGCGAAGGCGGTGAAAGAAAAAAAACAGGCGCATCTCGAAACTGAGGCTGCAAGTGGGCTGTCGACAACTTCCGCTTTTTTGAATGTTTCGTGCCAAGCCACAATTGGAATTTGATTGATGCGCCTTGTGAATAGAGATAAATACTGTCTCGAAGCAGGGTCGTTAGCTATTTACTGCGTTGCGCATGGCATGCTGAAATTTTTGCATATAAATTAGCAGGGACAGGAACAGCAATTCAAATGCTTGACTTGAATTCTCGAATAGAACCCGAATTAATTAATTAATAAAGACAGCCGAAAAATGGTTGACTTAACAAAAGCTCAGTTCGATTTGCGGCAATTCGGTTAATCAGGAAGACAAAACTATTTCGGCTCATTTATACAAAATCCATCTTGATAAAGTACTAGCTGATAATTTTGATGAAGCAAGCGTTGCATGTTGAGAAATAAATGTTAATTTTCACATGTGTCAATGACATTTGTTCTTCTTAAAGATGAATAATGTCGCAATCACCGTCAAGAAACTTAAACAAAAAAAAACTGAATACAAAAGCGCTGTTAGCGAAAGAGGGAAACTTAAAAGATTATTTTCTTCGAGATGTTATCGAGTGAAAAACATACTTTTTACATTGGTTCATCAAGGTCTAATCTGCACAAACAAAGTCGACATATCCAAAGGGCTAAGTAAATATTACAGGTGCCTCATATAATTTCCTAAGGGTCCATCAGCAAATCAATATTCAGTACGGTTCTAATAAGCTTATTAGAGACAACACCTGCAAGGAGCTTAACTCGTGTTGCTTGTACTCACGAAGTTAACGCTTCTCAAAGAATTGCAACGAAGTGTTCGGTTTGAGGTAAACCATCACGGAGTCTTCTTTGTGAGGTTGTACCATTTAAAGTTTTCTTCATGATTTTCTGTGATTCTTTTTCTTTTTACGTTATTTTTGTGATCGTTGAAAAACTGTTTTAAAATTGACTGACGCAGTTCTTTTGGGTGGCAAATAAATTCCTGTAACTAAAATACATAGCCATTTTACAACGCCGTAATTTCAATGTGCATGTTTATGAAACATTTACATGAGCGGGAGCGGCCAACTGTGTTAAAGAGATTTCGTGGCTGAGTAAGACCATGTGCTGAGTTTTTTAGTACCCTAAGCATTATTCAGCTTATTTTAACATCAGTAATATCGAATGAAAACACAGCTTTAGAGATGAGCTGCTTTCGTGGAAGCAAAACGGCAACGATTTAGAGTGCGTAAGCGAGTGCAGTTACTATGGTTTCGAAAGTTTCAAGGCTGTGTCCTCACAGGTGCACTTGTAAGAAATGCATAATCCGAAATGAATTGAATATTCGTAGCGTGATCCAAAAAAATTAAATATTTGCGAGACGTTTGATGTGTCTACAGACAATCCAAGCCGAAACTCTCGGAGGTTCTTTATCCAGCGTTTTTTCCGGCTTTTTCAAAAGTCCGTTAGGCTTTTTATATTTTTATCATGAAATTAATTTGATGGCCTCTGCCAGGCTTGGGGTACAATTGCCACCTTTTCAAGCCTTGTTACGCAAGACAAATTCTTCCTTTGGGCTGACGTCACCAGCATTTATTTCATCAGTCAAGTTTATTGAGATTTTATGAGACCCTTGCAACAATTCTTTTCGTGTTAGTACAATTCACAACTCCCCACTCATATCTCCTTGTAAACATTCGCCTGTTGCTCACCGTATTTTAAATTTTGCTCTTTGTGTATTTTACCATGAGTTAATTGCAATACTTTTGCTTTCTCTTTGTCAGATGACTTTCCCTCGCCGCCTGACGTTTGCATTATTTTTAATATGTTGCCTGCAACACGCAAATGCTTCAAATTCATCAATAAATACGTCCACACCGCCGGCGCAGGCAAGCTCATATATAACAGCACAGGCAAACTCAACTATGACAGCACAGACAAGCTGTATTATGACAACACAGGCAAATGGATCAACATCAGCTGTTTCCAAAACGTGTGCAATGACTGCAGTTTCTACCACAACAATAACAGTGGGGACAAAGTCCACTGCAGCCACAGATGTAACAACCTCAACGAAAGCGTCCAACTCATCAAGTGCTTATGCACGCATTACAAATACGCCTGTCACAACATCATCTTCCATGTCCACCATGCAAAATGGTAAGAAAAATCAAGGACGACAGAATGGAAATTTAACAGGATGGGAAAGTTTGGAATTTGGGGTTCTAGGAGCACGTTTCTCTAGAAGGTTTTTTTTTAATTTTCAATTTTTTTTTCTTACATTAATTCTTCCTTTTTCACGTTTTCTTCTTTAGATCATTTAATTTTTTGCTTTTGTGTGAAATTTTCGGCATCAGTGTCGTTTCCAATGTTAAAAATATGTATATCTTTCAACCCGGACGTTGATCGGGCGTTTCACCAAATAATAATTTCATAGCTTTTCATCACTTGATGAGGGGGCCAAGCTTAGAGAATAGCTGGCTCCTGTCTCCCATGGGATTCGTGATAACAGGCTAATTATCAAGGGGAAGATACGGTGAATCTTTATTCGTATTTGTCGACGCAAACTTAGAATTGTGATGTAACTGCAATAATTAAGAATGCCATATTTTGTAAATTCTTTGCGCATTATTTTCTCAGCGTCTTTCAGCATAGGTTCAGGGACTGAGTACTCGTTACCACATTGCACATCTTGCAGCAATGGAGGAACCATTACAGTGACCATGTCATGTAACATCAAAATAAAAGGTAGCGACGACAAGAAATGCGACCGGGACAAGTTCAATGGTACCAGCTGTGATTACGTTACTTTGGCCAATAAAATGTATGGCTGTGCTGAGGTGAAGAAGAATTTCACGTACTTTGAGAAAGAACACTTGAAATCTGTAAAAGAATGTAAAGTCGTTTGCCAAGCCTCCGGCTCAGGTTAGTTTTAGTTTAACTCTAAAAAAAGTTGTTTCAAATAATTTGAAGACTAGGAGATGTTGCAGTGTAATCAAACCTGACAGTAAAAAAATACACGACGCAACTGGAGCGCTTTTCGACTGAGTGTCGTACAACCAAAACCAGAGTAATCACAACAACCAATCAGAAGGAAGGAAAATACCCTCAAGAGCCAATGAGAACTCAAAGAAAAACCAACCAAATAGTCTAAAGCGCGAAAAAACGTGGGCGACCTAGTCGTGATTGGTTTCTGTTTAGCATCTGATTGGTCGAGAGAGTGGCGCGAGTCTTCTGGACCAATCAGAGAGCGAAGTAAAGCAAAACCCAACGCGATTTCGAATCACTTTCGACACTCAGTTGAAATTTGCTGTATCTCATAAAGCAAACTAATTTATTTAGTTATACTTTTCTGGGACTATTCCAAGGAAGTGACAACTTAACTTGACTCCTTTACTGACATAACGGGAGTTGAACCGATAACCTATGCTTTACAAGTGCAGTACTCTCCACAAGAGAAATTCCTGATTTTAACAAAAACCTGTCCTTTTTTTCTTTAGTGTTGTATCCACACGTCGTGTTCATTTTTGCATCTGGCCTCGTTGTCAGAATGTAAGTACTTCTCACTTACTCGAGCTTTCATGAAAACCCATTGAAAGTTATTCGATCAACGTAACAACTGTTTGACATCATTAAGTCAATGTAATCTTAACAAGCAATTTTACCACAGAAACTTTCATTTGCTTTAGCAGTTCATTTGTCTCCAAGAGCTATTTCTGATAAATATTGACAAATTTTACTCCTCACATTTCCATGCAACTCAAAGAAAATCCAATTTTCTTTAAAAATCCAAGATGGCGTCGTCCATCTTAACGGTCATGACGTCACGTCTCGTCTATCATAATAGAATTGTAAAACAGGTCGCCCAGCTTGTGGAAAGAAGTAGGACATGGCTTGTATAGGTGCTAATTATTTGTATTTTTATTTTGTAGGTTATAACAGACTCTGTGATCCATCGGCCTTGAAAAACTTGAAGTTTCCGGCAAGAAAAATTAACGTTT